AACGAAAATGAATATTTACAAATTTTTGAAAATTGCTGGATTTTCTAACTTTAGTACACAAATCTTCAAGAGATTTCAAAGTACGTTTTGAATTTGCATTCAAATGAATTTGAATACTTGATACTTGTGGCATTGCTTGATTGTTTTGGTTTTTGCATCTTTCAGATATGAAATTTCTGAAGCTGTCAACTGGCAAATATTGCTTTCCTTAGCATAGCATTTAATTATATACCATACTGTCGGATACTAACTATTATCATATGCCAACTATCATCTACTACCATATTAAATAGTATTGCATGCCGCACATTGACCACTGTCAAATATATCTGTGGTTTTTGTATTACATTTGTGAGTGCCTTAGGTTCTTTGCAGGCTTATAAGGAGTTGCTCAGTGAGAATAGCTGAAAGACAGCTTGCTCACAACTACTGGTCTTCCTCTGAAATGTACAGTCACAGCAAAATATTGCATGCATTCTAATATTCACACTCAGTTCATATTAAGTGGTGCTGGGGCCCAAAAGGTGAGCTCTGATAGGGTTGCCAAATGTCCTCTTTTTCCAGGACATGTCCTCTTTTTCATGGGTAAAGCAATTAAAAGTAGAAGTTGGCAAATGTGTCCACCCCTAGTAGGTGCCAACTCTTAGCGGCCCAGTCCTTTCGGGCCCTCCCAGTAATTTTTGCTGGTCTCCCCAATGTTCAGAACAATCAAGGAGTGGAGCAGGCAGAGTGCAGAGCCAAGCACAGCACAGCGCAGCTTCAGCAGCTGGCAGCTTTTCTTCTTCCTCTTCCTCCTCCTGCTGCTTCATAAGGGAAAGGCATGAGAAGCAGCCCCCAGCCAGTGATGGTGGAGGAACCTGAGGTCGAGGGAGGATGAGCCACCGGCCAATGAAGCTGCACTGCTGCAGTGTTTGGCTCTGCCCCCTAGCTCCTGTCCCCATGTTATGCATGTGTCTTCATCCCCATCCCCAATCATCTGTGCACATTGGTGCCTATGCTGGTGGGTGCATGTGTGTGAGGCCCATGTCAATTACAAGGAGGGGCAACCTTTTGCCCCATCAGCCACAAGCAGTGGAGGGTTGCATGGCTGATGCTGCCAGTGGATGAGGCCATTAAAACACAAATATTCAACCCACCTGCCCTCACACACTCTCTCACCACCCACAGTTGAGGCTGCAGTGAGACTGTAGGGAAGGAGGTTTAAACCTCAGCTTCCCAGTGCTCTTGATCTTCTAAAGCCACACACACACATCTGGAAGCAGCCTAAGTTGCTGCTTAGCACTGCAGAAACAGCAATCGTTCTCCCCACTGGGCAGCTGCTGGAAACCAGGGCAATGAAGTGGGTCAGAATAGAGGGCTGCTGTCACTGCTTGTATGCTAGGTTTTGAAGGGAGGGAATAGAGCAAGCTACAGAGTTGAAATCGGAGGCGGATTTAGGGGAGTCCGCACTGGGCACCAAGCCAAGAGGACGCCACAGGGGGCTCTGCAACAATGACAAACAACTGAAGGTGAGAGGCGGGGGTGCTGAATTCTGGCGTCATACAGAACGCCGATGAAATTTTAAAGCCCAAATGGAATTCATGACCTGCATAAAGCTACTACAATTCAGGACTTCATAAAGGTCTTGATAGCCCACCTGTTTTCATTGGTTTATTTATGAAGGATTATCTATGCTACTGTTAAGCTCCTTTGGGTAGATGGACTTTCAACTGGCTATGTATTTATTATTGATGGTTTTCCTAATGTTGCAACCTTTTTATAGGAGGTATTGTATAGTATTGTATTCTTGTTGAAAAGTGTGTTATTGTGTATTGTATTGTGTGTTATCTGTTATTGTGTAAGCCACCTTAAATGAGCTACTCATAAAGGCAGGTTATACATCTTATCTGTAAATAAAATTGTACATGTAAGAAAATAGTGTGCCTCATCTCTGCACTGCCCCCTTGAAAAAGACATTAAATATCTTTGAAAGGGGGTGCATTTCACAGGCAGAGAAAATGTTAAAAAATGCAGCCCCTCTTCAACTCAGCCCTAGTGAACTGCTTAATTTCAAGCGTACCCTCTATAATTTTTAATGCTCTTTTCATCCAGGGGATCATAGAAATAGCTTTGCATTTGAAAATGAGGCATCAAAGTGACCCTTGAGTGCTTTTGCACTTTACGTATGGATGCATGTATTGGTCACAAAGACAAGATAATGATATGGAAATGATGCCTAAAACTGGCATTTCTAAACCAGAAAAAGTGGTGATCATTCAATTGCTCAATATCTTATATTACATACTAACTATAGGTATCCTTTCTAGAATGTCCATTTACCAGAAAGAGATCCTGAATAACAAAGTACTACACAACAGGAATACTTGTTAAATCTTTGCTGCCTCATATCACTCAAACACTGCAGTACTGAAGGGGGCAAAACTATTTGATGATATCAGTTCAAGCACTTGAACCAACAATACAGATTTGTACCATTATTCCACAATACTTCACCATTTTAGAAAGCCCAAAGTATTTATTATTATATTTTATTTTACTTATTTTACCACCCTTTCTCCAAAGAGCACAGGGCAGTTCACAACATAAAAATACAAAATGAGAACACAAAATACATACTAAAAGAAAAACAAACCAATAACCCCTCTCCCACAAACACATTTAAAAGGCCAAATAACCATCTCCTATAATATAAAAAATAGCAAGGAGAGACAAGAAGGCCTTCTTAAATGAGCAATGCAAAGAAATAGAGGAAAACAACAGAATGGGAAGAACCAGAGATCTGTTCAAGAAAATTGGAGATATGAAAGGAACATTTCATACAAAGATTACCATAATACAGGACAAAAGTGGTAAGGACCTAACAGAAGCAGAAGACATCAAGAAGAGGTGGCAAGAATACACAGAGGAATTATACCAGAAAGATATGGATGGCTCATATACCCCACGTAGTGTGGTTGCTGACCTTGAGCCAGACATCCTGGAGAGTGAAGTCAAATGGGCCTTAGAAAGAACTGCAAATAACAAGGCCAGTGGAAGTGATGGTATTCCAGCTGAACTATTTAAAATTTTAAAAGATGATGCTGTTAAGGTGCTACACTCAATATGCCAGCAAGTTTGGAAAACTCAGCAGTGGCCAGAGGATTGGAGAAGATCTGTCTACATCCCAATCCCAAAGAAAGGCAGTGCCAAAGAATGCTCCAACTACCACACAATTGCACTCATTTCACACGCTAGCAAGGTTATGCTTAAAATTCTACAAGGCAGGCTTAAGCAGTATGTGGACCGAGAACTCCCAGAAGTGCAAGCTGGATTTAGAAGAGGCAGAGGAATCAGAGACCAAATTGCAAACATGCGCTGGATTATGGAGAAAGCTAGAGAGTTCCAGAAAGACATCTACTTCTGCTTCATTGACTATGCAAAAGCCTTTGACTGTGTCGACCACAGCAAACTATGGCAGGTTCTTTAAAAAATGGGAGTGCCTGATCACCTCATCTGTCTCCTGAGAAATCTCTATGTGGGACAAGAAGCTACAGTTAGAACTGGATATGGAACAACTGATTGGTTCAAAATTGGGAAAGGAGTACGACAAGGCTGTGTATTGTCTCCCTGCTTATTTAATTTATATGCAGAATTCATCATGCAAAAGGCTGGGCTGGATGAATCCCTAGCCGGAATTAAGATTGCCGGAAGAAATATCAACAACCTCAGATATGCAGATGACACAACCTTGATGGCAGAAAGTGAGGAGGAATTAAAGAACCTTTTAATGAGGGTGAAAGAGGAGAGTGCAAAATATGGTTTGAAGCTCAACATCAAAAAAACAAAGCTCATGGTCACTGGGCCCATCACCTCCTGGCAAACAGAAGGGCAAGAAATGGAGGCACTGAGAGATTTTACTTTCTTGGGCTCCATGATCACTGCAGATGGTGACAGCAGCCACAAAATTAAAAGACGCCTGCTTCTTGGGAGAAAAGCAATGACAAACCTAGACAGCATCTTAAAAAGCAGAGACATCACCTTGCCAACAAAGGTCCGTATAGTTGAAGCCATGGTTTTCCCAGTAGTGATGTATGGAAGTGAGAGCTGGACCATCAAGAAGATGTTGCTGAACTATGACTAGCATTGGCTCTGGTCATTGTCCATGCTCACTGGGGTGACAGGAGTTGTAGTTCAGCAACATCTGGAGGTCCGTATAGTTAAAGCTATGGTTTTCCCAGTAGTGATGTATGGATGTGAGAGCTGGACCATAAAGAAGGCTGATTGCCAAAGAATTGATGCTTTTGAATTATGGTGCTGGAGGAGACTCTTGCAAGTCCCATGGACTGCAAGAAGATCAACCGTATCCATTCTGAAGGAAATCAGCCCTGAGTGCTCACTGGAAGGACCGATCCTGAAGCTGAGGCTCCAATACTTAGGCCACCTCATGAGAAGAGAAGACTCCCTGGAAAAGACCCTGACGTTGGGAAAGATGGAGGGCACAAGGAGAAGGGGACAACAGAGGACGAGATGCTTGGACAGTGTTCTCGAAGCTACCAGCATGAGTTTGACCAAACTGCAGGAGGCAGTGGAAGACAGGAGTGCCTGGCGTGCTCTGGTCCATGGGGTCATGAAGAGTCGGGCACGACTAAACAACTAAACAACAACAACAAATAATATAAATAATTGAGTGATATAAGCAATATAGACCACTAAGGCGTGAACAAATACACAAAGCTATCTTAGGTACTAATAATATTTGCATACATTATGAACCTGTGCTATTGCAGGTAAAGAGCAAATTAATGTCTTTCAACATAGTTCTTAATTACTAGATATAATACAACTTATATTTTTCCTATCACAAAATGTAATGTTGGAGGTGTTTAGGATTGGCTTCATTACAATTATCAGGTAGTATGTCGGACATGACTAAATGACTAAAACAACAACAACAAAAACTACAAGTGAATATAATGACATACAAACCATCTGAATGAGGTTTGCATGTATTTTTTAATTTTAAAGTCTTAATATGTAGTATGGCCACCCCAGCCTAATAGCATGGCATGTGACAGAACAAATATAAAGGTGGAAGGAATTTTAGAAGGCAAACAATTCAAATAGCAGAAAAGGAGAAGGAAAAATATTTGACACTCATTCTGTTCAGAACTGGGACAAACAAATCAACAAATTGTGTTGATTATTGAGTTGATATTCAATTATTTTAACTAGTTGTTCATTGTATATATTTCCAGGACAAAATTATAGACTGCAATTACAAAAGCCTGCTTGTTCAAGTAAGTACCATATAAATGTGTGTTCAGTCTTATATTTTCCAGTGGGATGTTTCAACAAAATGCATTTTTCAAGAAATCAGATTTACTACCTGAACTTCTACAGCATCTATAAAAAGAGGGCTTTACCACAACTTAACATCAGACAATTTTCAGGCTTTGTTGCTGTTTTTTTTCATTGGTGCTGCTGAGAATTTCTCATAACCTATTTATTGTTCCCAGATTCCTGGTACTTATCAAAAGAGTGCAGATAGGAGAATTCTTGAGGTAAATATGTACATGAATATCAAAGACAAATCTCTGTTCATACTTGTTAATATAACAGTAGGCACGATCTTATATATTCTTTAAAACAAAACTGAGTGGAGACTGAATGTACATATGCATGCACATACAAAGAGGGAATATGAGGCTAAGAAAGTATGAAATGCACTGTAAGGTACTATGGAAACTTGCATCCCATTTTCCCCTCTTGTGAGCCATCACAGAATATCAAATAGGCCTAAACAGTAGTCCTAAGAGCAATGAACAGAAAAGAATGCCAAAACTCAGTACCCAATTTCAATTCATGAACAATCCTGGCTTGTTATCCTGACTGATGACTTCCCCCCACTCCAGCTTTAATGAAGCCTTACAAAACTAAATATTCTATTTATTTAATCCTTTCAAAGTACAGAATTTAAAATTAACAATTTCCCCCATAGTATTATGGAGAGTAGAATCCAGAATACTACAAGCAACTCAGTACACATTATCATAAGGGTCTGCAGGATATGTTTTTGCTGTCAGTAGGTCTTGCACAGGGCATTCTGTGGATAAGGTAAGGGTAGGATAGAGATAGCCTTGAATCCAAAGCCCCTTCATTCCTCTGAGAGGCCCCAGGATCAGGTGTACCAACTGCATCAGTTTGGAGCTGGCATAGTTAATTTCCTTCCTCTTGGTTTCAATTGGATGGTTTTAAAAAACGACGACATGCACAGACCTCTCACTCTAGCTGCTGCAAACCCACATTGGTTTGGAAATGGCAGCTGGCACCACTTAAGACTGCTCTGCCATCTTTAGAAATGGCAACCTGACATGTCTATAGTCAGGCTTAAATGTTATGTGTTCACAGTGGCAGCAACCCATAGGGATCTAGATATTTAGAACCACGGAGTAGGAAGGACATGAAAATCAAATTATCAGATGTGTTGATAATCTGTATGTGAATGGGGTATTAGGGAAGGGGTAGTGCCTGTGGTGGGAGGCATATTGTGCTCCTTCTGGTCCACACCTTGAACTCAGCTCTCACCCGTGGCTCCTAGAAGCTACCAGCATGCCACAGCAACCACACCCTGAAAAGAAGAACCCAGAGTAGAGTAGAGAGGTTGAATGGTGCCTTGTACACCTCATTCCAGCAACTCCTGCAGCAAAGATGGTGTCCAATGGATTGCTCTGCTTTCCTGTGGGCCACATCAGCATGGCTGAGAGGGGGGTCTTGTACTCTGGGCAGCCCACAACCTCCATACACAACTTGTACCCCTGGGAAGTCACTTTGGTGCAGCTAACACAGTGGTTTCACTTCACCCCTGGAGGCACACACCATTGTCGCTCGAGACCGAGGAATACCAACAATGATAGCAAGGCTTGACACCTTTTTTTAACCAGCCCACAGAAACTTGATCTGCACAGATTAGAACATAATATTGCTTATCTCCATACTCTGAAAACCTTCACCTTATGATTTCAGCAATCGAGTTGCAGTTAAAAGCAATCTCAATAATCCAAAGAAAAAAGAAAAAGAAAACCCAGCATTTACATCTGGCACTGTCAGAGTTATTTCTGAATAAAAATAAGATATATTTCACCAATACTATCTAATAATATTAGAAAGTCTTAAAATGGTTTAAGGAATAGAAGGAGGAGGGAGGTCCCATTCTATTAGGTATAGAAAAGCTTATGTAATTATTCCCTGTATTACATGCAAACCAAAGGTAAAATATGAGCATTCATTTTTAGTGCTTTTAATCTCTCTTCCCTTCTCAGATGCACTGTAATAGATCATATGCTGTAATGGATCACATACAATGATCTATTACAATTGAAGTTTTAAAAAATCTGAAGAGAATGAAAGGGCTAGAAATGCAGTTACTAGTTTTTGAAAAAGACCGTATCTTTGAAGATAGCATTTCATTTCCTGTACTGTATCTTGAATGCCACAATCTATTTATTACAGCAGTCCTTTTAAAAGATGTCTCTTCTTACACAGTATCTGCATTTGTGTGATTCTCTAGTTTTCTAAACTAAAATGATATTTTCAGCAAATAAGGTCAAAGGTTCAAATTACTAACCCAGTAGGGTGTGTGTATATATCACTCTATCACAAAAAACTATGAATGTTATATTCAACTGAGTCATAGTAAATCCACTGAAATCAATGAACAAGTTTGTCATGATTAACTTGATCCACTGTTTTAATGGATCTACTTTGAGTATGACTTAAGTCAGGTACCACCCTGAATTAGAAGTTAATCCTACCAAACATATAGTAGTTAATTCTGCCATTATGGCACCTCTAAAAAGTGGTAGTACTTGCAATTACATTCACACATGACACACAATTCCCGCATTAGGCCAACCATTTTACAGCAATATTTCAAGTTACAACAAACATTAAATTTGTTTTTCTCACCTCAGAAAAGTACAACATGGCCATAATCTAAGAAAATATAAGTGGATGAAGGCCATAACTGTGGGATGAAATTGCTTATTTTTACTGTGATTGACATGAACTTAGAAAAACGGACCTCTATGGCTTGATTCACTTAAAAACCACGTCATAATAGTGCTAAATACCCATTGATGATCCAGTAGCAAGCAGGGCAGGTACAGCAGTGCTCTTCTGGTTTCCCAACATGACATGTTGCTCCCACTTACTGAGAGGAGAAGCGGCAAAGCAGTGGGGAGCTTGTTTTCTAGAGGTGGAAAAAGATAGTGGATGGTCCTCTGTAAAGGACACATGAAAAGTCTATGTGGTAAATGGCTAATTTTAAATGTCTCGTTCTTACAGTGGTTTCACCATGGAACACACCACTGACCATGTGAATTCTGACGGGCTAAGGCCTCAGCACTTAAGATATTATTTATCTGGATATACATACCACTTCAAGTCAAAGTATTGAAGCAGTTCCCATAAAATAATAAACATACAAAATACAATAATAATATACAGGGTGAATCTTTTAAAAGAGGCCCCGTGGAACATGTGTACTCTGTATCCATGGGGCCTCTTTTAAAGGACTCACCCTGCAATTACTGATACAAAGTGTATAACTGTGTAAATGTTGTGTGGCAATAAATTACAATTGAGTCAAATCTTGTGAGAAATAACTAAGCAGCACAAAGGACTGCAGTATCCTAGTAAAGAACAGCTTATACAGCATTTACTAACAAAGCATTAAATTGAAGGCCAGCATTATGGTGATGTAGGCTACCTTGGGAGGTAATAATCAAAGGCCATAAGCATGTAAAAGTTTTAATAGATATTGAATAGCCATTTTATGATCAGTTTAATTTCAGAGTAGAGGATAACAGCAGATGGGAATAAAGAGATGTATTAGATCCTTAACAAAACTAGACATGACCTGCTGTGCGGGCAAAGACTGTTCTATATTAACCTTTCCGAAAATCAAGACAGCCAGGTGCACTTTTATGTTTACCATCATTTAATTTAACTAGACAATGTAGAGGAAATATTCCAATGCTGGTGAATATAGGTATGACATTGGTTCATACAATTAACATTTTGCACCTGAGAGGGGAAGGAATTCCAGAGTAGAGGTGCCACAACTGAGAATGTCCCCTCACATGTCACCACACCCTGTATCTCAAGAAGATTGTGACACCATGAGAAGTGATGATGATGTCCCCTGATGATCATATGATCATAAAGTCTGGGCAGGTGTATAAGGGAGCTAGAGACTTTACAGGCATCTGGGTCTCCAGCCATCTAGAGTGTTATAAAACAAGAACAGCTTCACAGCAAAATGTAGATGTAGGGTAGATTTCTGTGCTCGAACTAACGTTCACTGGAAGGGAGTGTGACAAACTGAGGCAAACAGTGGTGACAAGTGATGAAGTTCTAGCCCTTATTAACAAGTTAAAAATGACAAATCACTCGGTCCTTATGTCAACCATTCAAGAGTTTTTAAAGAATTCAGATGAGAAAATGCTGATCATATAACAAAATAAGTAACTTGTCCCCAAGTTCCTTATTTAGTATCTAAGGACTAAAAGTGACCAATGAAACACCAAACAACACCCAAAGAAGAGATCCAAAGGGGATTCAGGAAATTACAGACTGGTTAGCTTAATGTCTGTGAGAAAAGCATTGTTAAAGATAGAATTACCAAGCAGAACAAGTCTTGCTGAAGAAGTCATGCCCTCAAAGCAGGAACTGAGCGCATGTTCCCATCAGAGGATATAGATATTGAATAGCATTGGGGACAAGGGACTGATGAATCATCACCAAACACTATTCTCTGAAATGGCTTTGGGAACAGGAGCCAAACCACTGTAAAACAGTATCCTCAACTCAGATTCCCTGAAGGTGATATAGAAGGATAACATGGTCAATGGTACAAAACACCAATGAGAGATGAAGGAGAACCAACAGGGTTATACGTCTCCTGTCTCTCTCCTGATAAAGTTATCCATCAGAGTGGTGAGGCTGATTCAGTGCCATGATCACAGAATTACAGAGTTGGAAGGGACCCTAAGGGTCATTAGTCCAACGTCCTGCAATGCAGGAATCTCAGCTAAAGCATCAATGGCAGATAGCCATCCAACCTCTGCTTAAAAACCTCCAAGGAAGAAGAGTCCACAACCTCCCAAGGGAGACTGTTCCATTGGTGAACAGCTCTTATTGTCAGAAGGTTTTTCCGTATGTTTAATCAGAATTTAAACCCAGATAGTTCACATCTGTCAAGAATACTTGGAGTTGAGAGGTCACCCCCCCGCCCCCAATCACCTTCCTCAAGTACATATACTGCAACAGTAATATTTCTGCCCACCTCCACCCTTTCTCTATCATAGAAACATGTCTAAGCCATTGCTCCAGGTTCAGGTAGCCCGTGTATTGTTTTACTCTAATGTAAACTTCTCTTTAATGCTATCTTGGTGCTGTATATAAATGAACAGAGCTCTTCTGAACTCAAATTGGGACTCAGTGGTTCTTGCTAATTTTCTTTTCCCAAGAAATGGGGCAAATTTCCACAATCATTGATCTAAAATGTTGATTTATAAATAACTGTCATTATATTCCATCAGCCCATCAACTATGCAACGCTTGTACACATATCACTTGTAAAGCACACTTACTTGTAATGTAACTGTTTAGCAAAATGATGTTTTATCAAAGCAAAATGTAACAAGAAAAAATAATTATGGTCCTTAAGTGCCGATAATGGGGGGAAAGAATTGCCTGATAGCAGCAGTTTCTTCAGTCTAATAGAGCTGGAACAACAAAATTCAGTATTGGAAAATAAGAGAAAGGCAACATGACTGGAAATTACAGAATGTTGTATTTTTCTTCCAGCAGTGAAGGCAATTGACCATGGGACAAGATTAGCAAGGGATATAGTAATTTCTCCATCACTTGTGTCTGCAAACCAGAAATATGCTTTATTTCACCCATAAACTGTTGACCTGGATACATGGATCACCAGGTGAGGTTTCAGTCATAAATAGTTTATGCAGTGCACTTGCTGATTTAGTGGTATGGTTCGACGATACATCAGAATTTTCACACATAGGTCAACAAGGGGCTGATGTGTCATGTGGTTAACTCCAGCAGTATATCAGCCAGTGAAAATTGCAGTAAGCACAAATGTACTGTGGGTGTGTGGGTGTAAAACAAAGGCAAAGGATAGAAAGCACATGAGGTAAAAAAGAGCGTAATATGCTTTAAAAGGCATTTGGATAAATTACGTTTCATAAATGTGTTGGAATACCAATCAGAAACAAAGCAATAAACAAAATGTTATGCCGGGTTAAAACAATGTAACAAGTGGAATAAAGGTAAAGGTAAAGGACCCCTGGACGGTTAGGTCCAGGCAAAGGCGACTATGGCAAAAAGCTCATCTCGCTTTTTAGGCTGAGGGAGCGGGCGTCATGTGGGTCAGCTTTGCAGGTAATGTTGCCAGCATGACTAAACCGTTTCTGGCGCACCAAAACACCATGATGGAAGCCAGAGCACATGGAAACACCATTTACCTTCCCGCTGCAATGGGACCTACCGTATTTATCTACGTGCACTGGTGTGCTTTTGAACTGCTAGGTTGGCAGAAGCTGGGACAGGGCAATAGGAGCTCACCCAGTCATGAGAATTCGAACCACTGACCTTCTGATCAGCAAGCCCAAGAGGCTCAGTGGTTTAGACCACAGCACTAGCCACTCCCTTTCATGAGTGAAGTACAGTAACAAGGGTATGGAACCATTTAGGTTCTGTAAAGTCTTTGGTCCCTTATTCCACTGTGAATACAGATGATGCACCACTCAGTAGACACAGTCCTGGGGCCACCTTGAATATGTGATAAAAACAAGGACAGGAGTGTTTCATTGTGCAGAAAGTGAGTGATTCTCTCCCTTCACACACAACCTGGAAGCAAGAGAGGGAAAGCACCCTTTGTTCCCAGTTCTGTTAAATGTTCAAAGCATCTTTATTCATGTCCCCATTGGCAGCCATGACTTCACTGGAGAAAGTGATGTCAGCATGAAATATCTAGCAGCATTTGGAGTTATATAAGGGATATACTACTTATATGTACTGTCAATGTGACCAGCTATGACAAAATTTAAAGACTGTCTGTAACATGGAACTGGAAATGAGGAGAGGTGGGGCATTTTCTCCCTTGATGTTCCACAGCTTTTAGAATCTGTTCTCATTTTTGTTCTGTAAAATCTGAAAGCCAGGTGCAGATACAGCAAAACCAATTTTTCAGAGCATAGCAATTTTGCACTGTCTTTCACAGAAATATTCTCCCTAGAATAGAATTTTAATTGAGTACATTAATTCAAAATATGTGTGACAAATAAATACAACCCATTTGAATCATTAGACAACTTTTTGCTGCACATTTAACATAGAAATATGTCACTTTAAGTAGTGAAACAAATTTTAAACCATATGTCCCCTTGAGATGTAACATATTTGTTTACAAACATGCAACAGAAGTGAAGAACCATTCTGAAAATAAAGATAACTTCCTGTAAATCACTTAACCTGCTTTCCAAAAGGAGTCCTAAGAAAAATGTGCCAGCCTATTCCAAGTATAGAACATTCTTAAAATCATCATAGGCAAATCTTCTCCTAAGAAACACAGCGATGAACAATACTAAAACAGAATCATCTCTTACTTGCCCTACACCTAGCACTGTACATAAAAGCAAGTGTACGGCTGGTAGGGATGGCTTGTGTGAAACAGACTTGTGGGCTGAGTTAACTGGGCCCATGAACTAGATATCTACACCCCTGGTTCTATGCTGATGCTCCACAATCTAGATGAAATTATGCTGTTTTTAATTTAGCAAATTTGCTTTGCTGAGCCAAATCTACTGAACAGCAAGTAGTCTGGTCCCCAGCATTAATAAAGTCAGAACCTGAAGCTGGAAGAGGTTATCTCAGCATCAGACTACAAATTTCCTCAGTCAATTGTTATTTCTGAGGGACTCCTTCAATTCAGAGGTAGGTTCTGATGCATGTCTTCAAGCAAGCATGGTAAGAGGCCAACAACATATCTAACAAGTTCAGGGAGCACCAGTGACTCTTTTGATCCCTATTAGAAAATCAATCAACAGAACAAGTACAGTTTTCAGACCCAGTGCTGACCGAAAAAAGTTCTGGAAAGGAGGGCAGAGCTACATTCTATTAAAAATGGCACTGCCACCAAAAACAGTAAACTTGTTGAGTTTCCTCCTCCGTTATGTGACCTTACATCATTGTGCTGAGTAGTTCTTTACCTCTGACAGCAGCAGCCAATGAACAGGAGTAACAAAAAAATATGTAGTGTAATGATATCTAGACATTTAAGTTGTACCACTTGAGGAGTGTTCAACATGGAGCTGTTTGTTTTGACTACAGTACCATGTTTCATGTACTACATAGCATTGCATTCACTTTTCTGGACTTCTGGACTTCCCAGAATACTTAGGGATTATGTAATTACATTTTATCTGATGTATACTTTATTTGGCCAGTTTTTAAAACATGA